TCAACAATATCCAGGGGCTGTGGGTTATGGTTAGATCATCAGATGGGCAGGGAATTAGAAGGACAGTAACCAAGGAAACTGCAGCTTTATCATGGTAGTGATGCCTCCTGGTGGTCACAATGTCCCTTTGTGGTTAAGCATCCTTGAAGTTAGCTATTTAACTTTATATCAAAAACTGAAGTGCTGGGACTGGAGAAATGACTCAGCAATTAAAAGCACTGGCTGCTCTTGCAGAGGACCTGGTTTGGCTCCAAGCACTCACATGGTGGGTAACAACTCCAGTTCTATGGGACCTGATGCCCTCTTCTGGCCTCCCTGGGCATTGCTCACATGTAGTGCAAAATACCCATGCACATAAAATAAAAATAAATCAAAGAAAAAATTATAAAAGCAAACTGAGGTCCTATAGCACTTTCCTAATTACCACATGTGTACTACTAAATGGTCTGTGTTCCCAAAAAGCCCATAGCTTCATTATATCACTTTCATTATGGTTTTGATATCCCTCCCTTACAGACTTTTCAAGTTTTTCATGGGAAGAAGTCTCTAAAAGGGAGATCTGGTCTACTATGGTTTGAGAGAGAAAAGGGGTTAGCATATCCCAATGCATATGCCTCCAACCTCATATTAATGAAAATGTTAAAAAAAAAAAAACACCAGTGTAGAACCCAGTGGGCCACTATCTCCTTGAGCCATCCTGCTCTGAACACTCTAGAGTATGCTATACTTTGCTTCATTTTGCTAAATAAAGTCCTGCTTAAACTGTCTGTGTCTTGTGGCTGAATTCTTTCTTTAAGAAGACATGAACCGAGAAGAGCTCCAGCCCAGTCACATCTTTCTGGTGCTGTGCCTTGGATCATAAACCTCGACTCTTTGTAAAAAGTGGCACTTCAATGTGAGTAAAGTGTGTAGTCTCCACTCTCAGTCATCCCAAGGCTCTGTGCCTATGGCATGGCTTTATCTGGATAGAAGCACTTGAAAGGAGCCTACCTGAGGCTTTAAGTGTCAGTGTTGGGCCACATTCCCTGTTAGTACTGCTCTCTGCCCAATCTGAATTTCTGGCCCGTACTTTTTAAAAATTTCCTTAGTCTTTTGTTTTCCGGCCAGAAACCTTCCCAGAAGTAATCACCTTAGATGCCAAAGACAGAGATACCTCTAGATATTGGAGATTAGTCCCCATTCCTGGCTTACATGGAACCATAAAGCCTTGCCCAGGAGTATGTCACCATAAAGTGCTGATCCCTTGATGTCCTGAGGCACTCTGTTCTTTCAGTAAAAGGCAGAAGAACAATCCAAGACCTTTTATAGAGGAACTGACTCTGAGACAACACCTAAGGGAGTGATTCTTATCAGCACATGTTTGGAAACAATGAAAAAACATGTAAAGACGACCAATCTCTTTCTTTGGGCCCTGCCTCCTAACCTTCCACTTGAAGCCTTTGCCTATTCTGCCTCTCCTTCTCTACCACTATCTATGTAAGAGTGAAACCACAGAGGACAAGTCAGCCTTCGGGTTGCAACAGCAAGAGGTTTATTTAGTACACAGGTACCTGTGGGCACAAAGTCTCCTCGGGGGACTTGCGCCCCTCAGGTCGGGTTTGTGGAACTTTTATAGAGCAGAAGCGGGATACAGAAGCAGAAACGCGGTTATTGGTTAATTTAAACTATTACAAAATGCTACGGGGAGAGCGGGAAGCTTACTTATCAGTAAGCCAGATGTCTTAACCATAAAACTTACTTATCAGTGAGTTGGAATTCTTGACCAGTACGTGACCTGCCTGAGAGACTTCATGGTGCCTGACTTTTATTTTTTTCATCTACAACCACTTCCTTGGTCTCCATCACCTTCCAACGTTGATGTTTTTACTTCTTTCAATGGTGGTGGGTGCCACTGCTAGGTGTCCAGCCCTTTTGCTAAAAGCTCCTTTCAAAATCATGGGGTGTGCCATGAGTGGTTAATGCACAAGCCTTTTGTGGACCAGGTCCAGGCCCTTGAACAGCAAGACTCCCTCCTGAACAGACTCTAAATTGGAGACCATTAAATGTTTTCTCAAAGCCCAACCATTTTGGTCTTCTCACCTCTAACTACTTACCTTACCTTAATAGTAATAGAATAATAAAGGAGGATAAAACCAGTAGGATTCTCAATTCTAGGGGTCACTTCCTCACCCCCACCTCAGTACAGAGTAGAATATATTGTAAGGGTCAATTCAATCTAAAGCTATACTGTCTCCTGGGGACAAAGGTAGACAGTACAGTCATTGCAGTAAGGGTTGACTAAATCCCAAACTCCTTAGGGGGAATATAGTCCTGGGGTGAAGAGTGGAGATCACACTGTCATCCAGCAGGGCTGCAGTACACACTGGTGTGTGCCTGACCCTCAGGATGAGAAGAGACCCCAGGAAATTCACAGGGCAGGTGTTAGCATAAAATAACTCCAGTGAAAGAAAAGAAGAAAATAGTTAATTCTGAGTCAAATGTGAATGCTGGTGCCCTGGGAACTCGGGTTCAAGTTGTTCTGAGTGGCATGGCCCATCCTAGAAGATGTAACATGTACACTCCTAGTCACGAGAACAAAAGGCAGTCAAGAATCAGTACACTTACCAATTATGTTTGGGGGTCATAAGGTAGATGAGCTAAAAGATGAGGAACTATGGGTTGGAGAGTCCTATCATTTTTAGTTTTAGGGCTGGTAGAGAATAGAGGACAGCTAAGATTAATGACATATTTCAAGTTTTATTTAGGAATCATGAGGACTCTTGGTCAGATATGGAGGTTGATAGCAAATCACTACTAAAAAGAATTAAAGTTAATCCAAGAACACTGTGCCCCCAATCTGCAACATTCTGTCTCCACCATCAGGACGCTCTAGTCACTAAGGTTAAGCAGACTGGTTTTCAGCAGAGGTGGCTTCTTCATAGACCCAGTGCCTTCAGGCCATGCTATATCTCCATACTCTGCACAAGAACACGCTTGTTGACAGACAAAGCATGAGTCTTCCCTCATATGAGAGAACCCCAGCCCAGCCAACATGAGGCCATCATGGGCTGAAGGAAGGCCATGGTGGGTAGAGTGGGTGACAGACACTCTAAATCTGACTTGACCAAGTATGAATTCCCACCTTGGAGGCCCAGGACCCCATTGTGGAACCAGAAAGTATCCACTGAGAGGAAGAGAATGCTTCTTTCTCACTGTGTAAACCCTTGATGTCATAAGGTCAGGGTAAAGACTTGCATCTAAAGTGTCCCCAAAGGTCCATTATGCTAAAGGCTTGGTCCCAGCCTGAAGCTCTATTGAGAGATCCTGGAACCTTTAGGAGATGGGGCCTAGTAAAAGGAAGTTAAGTCAGTGGGTGTCAACCCTTGAAGGGGATCTTTGTATCCCAGCTCCTTCCTCTTCCTCTTTGCCTCTCAGCCACCATGAGGTAAGCAGACCTCACCTGTCATTTGATCTGGATGTGATGTGTCACTACAGACCAGAGTAACAGTGACGATAAGCCATGGACCAAAACTTCAGAAACCATGAGCCCAAATAAACCTTGCCTCCTTTCACAATCATTTCTTCAGTGATAGGAGCAGGAGTACAGCCAGAATCCACAGGAAGCAAGGAGGGAGGCAGGGGCAGGACACACACTAGAAACCTTGACATGAACAGCAGAGGCTCTGAACCAAGCACAGTGTGCTGGTGTTCACACCAGTTGTCTTGTTTCTGCTTGCTGGGGAGGGTCTGGGACATTCCCACAGGACTGGAAAGGATTTGCTCTAGGCACTTAAATTTTTCTCAGGGCACCATGGGCTTGCAGTGACCCAGGGACTCCCTTATCAAGAGTTCAGGTTGAAGAACGGTTAAAAGCACTGACTGCTCTTGCAGAGGACCTGGGTTTGATTCCCAGCACCCACAACCGTCCTTAACTCCAGTTCCTTAAGGCTACAACCATCCTTAACTCCAGTTCCAGGGGAATCCGAAGTTCTCTCTGACCTGTGTGACATAGGTACAATCACATACATGGAGGCGATTCACTCATACAAATAAAATAAAAGAATAATAAATAAAATATTTTTTTTTAAAAAGTAGGGCTATGAGGCCCTACTGCACTCCCATACTGATTCACGAGGATGTGGTGATACAGACAGGTCTTCAGGTCAGCTCAGTGCTAATCCAGCAATTCCTGGGTCTGCCAAGCCTCAGCCAATGCAGGATGAAGCAAGCCCACAGGGTTTGGGGGCTGGGCTTCTTAGACAGGGATGGTGGGGTCAGGATGGGGGCAGCAGCTGATTGCTAAACCCTGCAGATGTGCTCTGAGGATTGCTGTTGAGATCTCAGACCTTGGGGACCCTCACAGTAACTGTCAACCTCTCCAGAAGAGCTTCTGTGACCTCTGGGTCTGAACAATACTCTTCACACCCAGTCTGGGGCTTGCTTCAGGAACATAAGCTGCTCCAGCCATGTGGGGGGACCCTGGCTCAGCACTATGGCTCATTCTTCTGAAAGAAGACACAGTCTTGGGAGCAGGAGTGGGACCTTAGCCTGTGGAATCCAACTATCTAAGGACAGAGACTCAGCTGCATGGGAAGCTGCCTGGTTGTCTCTGTCCACCGTCCAAGGTGAGCATTGTGGTATTGGGGAGCTGGAAGTCCAGAGCAGCATGAAGTGGTACTAGTGGGATTAAAAAACCTAGATGTTTCTTTACTTGGTTTTATTTTCTCATGCCTAGGAGAAGTACGGCCGCAGATGGATAGGTGAGCTCACAGATGCAAAGCTGCAGGACAGGGCTTGATGAAGAGACTGGCAGGACATGCTGTCAGGGCACTGCGGGCCCAGCCCAGATTCTTGAGCTAAATCAACCTTGGCAGTAAGACCTGAAAAGACAGCAGGGCTGTGCAGATCTTGGGCTTCATGACAGTACCTTGATCTGGAACTTGATTGATCCAGCCAATCACACTGGGGGGCTTGGGTTTCTCTGGCTGTGGATCAGGTGATGCATCCTTGCTCTCCTTAATCTAGTTGGCAAAGTAGGAGACCCTGGTGAAGACGCTGGGGGTGGTGACTGGCAGTTCACATGATGTGGTCCAGCTTCTCAGCCCTACCACGTACCAGGCACCATTCATTAAGGAGATAAGGGGGCCCCCGGAATCTCCCTGAGGAGAAGAGAGTACATAAATATGGGTCTAAGAAAGGGTGAAACACATATTGATCATGTTGAAGAGGACTTGAGGGGCACCAGGGTTCTCTGCTGTCTGAGTGGTACTCATCAGGTTCTCTTGGGCAATTTTAAAAATTCAAGTATTAATTTGAAGTATCAAATTCAGCAGACTGGAGAGATGGCTCAGTGGTTAAGAACACTGGTTGCTCTTGCAGAGGACCAGGGTTCAATTCCCAGCACCCACAAGGTGGTTAACAATGGTCTGTAACTCCAGCTCCAGGGGAATCTAACCTCTTACCTCTTCTGACCTCTGCAGGTATTGCAGGACACAGGTGCACTTACATACATACAGGAAATATACTCATACACATAAAAATAAATAAAATATATTTTAAAAATCCAAGTGTGGGAGGTCACTTGGGGTCAGTATCTTCAGGGAAGGGCTTAGAACCTCATTCCACAAAGCTGCCTTGGGGACCCTGGAAACCACTTAGTGGGGATTCCAAGAACTGGACATCTGTCCTCTGCCCTGCTATTTATGTGGAAGAAGGTGACTTTGAAGTCCCACAGAGTGGATAGTTGACTGGATAATCTGGAGACCTGGCCTGTGGCTTTTAGCTGAATCCTTGTCCCAGCACAGTATCTTACCTGTGCCTTTGTATTATACTTAATGAAGCCACAAGTAATTCCACAGTTCATTGGCTGAACTCCTTTAGAAGATGCCAAGCAGGTGGATTCGTTGAGCAGAGAAGAGCTGTCACATGGGCCCAACTAGGGGACAGGCAGAACCACAGGGAGCTTCAGGGTTTCAGTTAGAGTCTCCAAATACAGCAGGGCCTAGAGACTAACAGGTCCCTGGAGTCATGCGTGCAGTACTCCCATGTCATAAGCCAAAAGCAGCACTCAAGAGAACATGGACCCCATCATGCTAAATCACGTGGTGGAACATTCTGTGTGCACAAAATGCTTAGGAAGCACAGAGCTGGCATGTCCATGTGGGCTCAACCTGCAGACATGACCAAGTGATAAAAGAGCCCCTGATAGGCTGTGCTAACTAGGTCATCACAGGGCTTCTCTGGGCTCAAACTGGAAGGAGCTTGTGAGGCTTGAGAGTAGCCAACCATTGGTAGACCCTGCTACAGGTTCTAAATACATGTTGTGGGCTCCTGGGTCAGGGCTGCTGGACTTGTGAGGACAGGTTACAAGGAAAGGATGGCAGTGGGTGACTGGAACTCTTTAGCACACAGGAATGACCTTTCATCTTCACTGAAAATGCAAAGCCATGCTTTCAAGATGACTCAGCAGGTAAAGGCACTTGCTGTAGCCTTAAAGGATGAGTTCAATCTTCAGAATCCACATGGAAGAAGGAGAGAACCAACTCCTATGAGTTGCCCTCTGACCTCCACATGTAAACTGTGGAACTTTTCATTATTTTTAAATGCAAGGCAAGTTGGGTGTAGTACTCCTGTAATCTTGATACTCCAAAGACTGAGGCATAAGGATTTCAAGGTCAAGGCCAAGCTTGACTATATAAGATCATTTTTAGACAGACAGACAGACAAAGCTAAAAATAGCAGCAACAACAAAAATCAAGGCAAGAACAGTAAGACAGGTTGTGGGCCCTGGTGTCAGAAAGATGAGATGTTCTGGTTAAGCTGTGGTTGTCAACTTGACACACTTGGGAAGAAGGAACCTCAGCTGAGAAATGGCCTCCATCAGATTGGACTGTGAGCCTGTCTGTGGGGTGTTTTCTCAACTGCTGTGTGATGTCGAAGTGCCCAGGCCACTGTGGGTGGTGTCAACCCTGGGCAGGTAGAAGAAAGCAGACTGAGCACAAGCCAGAGGAGCAAGCCAGTAAAGTGTTCCTCTGTGGTCTCTGCTGCAGTTCCTGCCTCCAGATTCGTACCCCGAGTTTCCGCTTCTGCTTCCCTTGATAATGGGCTGTAAGTTGTAAGCTAAATAAACCCTTTCGTCCCCAAGTTGGTTTGTTAGTGCTTTAGCACAGCAATAAAAACCTAAGAAGACAAGAGAACAAAGGATCCAGGAGCAAAGAAGCATCTGACTGATGGAGTGGGCTGAGGGCTAGAGTCATTAAGCATGGAAAGCCACACATTGATACTGTAGGGTATGCCCTGCTGGGAAGAAGGCGCTGAGAATCAGGAGGGGCCTTGAGGAGAAGGAGGATGCACATAAAGTATAAAGCGATATGTTTCTGGGCCAAGAGGATAGTCAAGGAAAGAAGAAAAAAAGAGAAACAGGGAGGGGCACAAGAGAAGTGTGGATGCCTGAGGGACCAGGGCTCTCAAGGTCAGGGTCCTTTCCTCACCTGCAGTTGTCCACTTCCTCTTTGGGTTCAGTTTCTCCACATGAAACAGAAACCTTACAGAGTGTACACTCATAGTACACAAACCTAGTAATGGACTCATACCCTCAATATAAAGAGTTCCTACAACTCAATATGAAAGACATGATCTCATTGGTGTCAAAAACAGCCCCTCCCCAAAACCTTGTAAACGCACTTCACAGGAAAAAACAAAAAACAAAAAACAAAAAAACTGACATATGGAAAAATGTTGATCTTCATTAGTCACCAGAGAAATGCAAATGAACAATCACAAACAATGCTTAAAGTGAAAAGGGCAGATAAACTAAAATATTGGTGTAATGTAGAGTACTGCAGGTGGGAGTGCAAATTGATGCAACAGGATTGGAGAGTTTCCTGTAGTATGTACAAGAGATGAATGTGTGCATATCTCATGGCATGCCAATTTCATGGCCAGCATGAGCCCTCTGTACTAAAACATACACCCTAGGGTGTTCAGGGAAGGGCCATTTGCAAAGACCTCAAACAGAAACTGTCTAGATACTTCCAGGGTAGGAATGGATTACAAGAGTGCAGTATATCCACACGGAGGAATGGATAAACATTACAGCATCATGTGCCTGAAAAGAGATCATGTGAAAGCCTGCATCTGATATGCATTCAGGTAAAGCCCTAGTGTGAATCCATGGCATCTCAGAAGCCAAGACAGAGATATTCTGGGAGCAAGGGAAGGGAAAAAGGAGTGAGGAGGACACTTTGGGTTCTGGGTATATTTGCATACCAATTTTCTATTTTATATTATGTTTTATTCATTTGTCTAAAGATTCAGGATCTCCTTGCAGCCCCAGCTACCCTAGAACTTAATATGTAGACCAGGCTGGCTTTGATCTCACAGGTGTTGATCTGTCACTGTGTCCTGAGTGCTGGGATTACAAGTATGCATCACCACACCTAGCATATTCCAGTGTGTGTGTGTGTGTGTGTGTGTGTGTGTGTGTGTGTGTGTAGGATAGAGGACTATCTGTAAGAACTGGTTCTCTCCTTCCACCACGTATTCCCACGTATCAAATTCAGGTTTGGTTACAGGTGCCTTGACCCACTGAGCTATGTCACTGGCTCACTGTTTAGGTTTCTGAAAATCTCTCAAGCAGTACAAGTAAGGCCAATTTCTTAGTGTCCTAGTCTTCAACATGTTTAAAAGTCACAACCAAACTGATAGGATGGGCTCCTGGTCTTCTGGAGCTCATAAAGAGGAAGATGGAGCAGGGGCAGGGTTCAGAAGACATAAGGGAAGTGACATGGACAGTACAGGGGTAAGGAGGTGGCCAGCTTGACTGAACATCTGAGCCTGGCTCACTTACTTTGCAGATGGATTTCGTTAGTTGATAGTCTGCAGCACATACCATATCCTCATATACGTAGAACTGATTAGTGGCACCAGGGAATGGTGGTGGGAAAAATGATTTGCAAATCTCATTGTCCATAAGGACGAGCTCGATTTCCCGCAACTGGCGGGGATAAGGTGCAAATTCTGTTGGAGGGAGTTGGATGTGAGATACAGATGTGGCAGATGCCAGCTCCCTCTCCAGGATAATTGCTGGTGGAGGGCAGCCACTCTAGGCCACAGGGGCAGGAAAGGTCTTCCCACAGACATACAATAACCAGAGGAAATGGCATTTAAGAGCCTGCATGGGGGTCTGTGGAAGGCAGGACCAGCAGGGAATCAGTGTGACTGCCCTGGATCAAAAGTGGGGGTTGAAAACATGGGGTGTGATCCCAGTAAGGCCCCAGCAGGTAGGGTCTCCTCACCAGGCTGTGGGCCTGGGACTGTGCGCTAAGGACATGGGCAGCAAAGAGAGAGGCTTCTTGGCTTTCAAACAACTCTGGCTGCTCTGTGAGGCCCAAGCTGGAGGCAGGGAGGGTGGAGCCTGGGAACCTAGCCTGGGTAGACCAGCAGCACATGACACAGCCAGGAAGGCTTGGGAGCATGACAAGAAGACTGACTAGTCTCATGGAGCTGCTGGACCTGGAAACATGGTTTCTGTTTCCTGGTTCCTGGCCAGGTATCCCCTCATGGGAACAGTGGAGGGCTCACTCCATGCAGGGCCCATTGCACTCTCAGGGGTGTGTAGCAAACCCAGGCCCGTATCTAGGCCCAGAAACTGTGGTCAGGGGAGGTCATGGCAGAAGACGACAGAAGGCCACTTCTGTGCACCCTAGGGGCTGTCCCAGCCCACACCTTTCCTTGGTACCCCAACTCTGATGCTCTGGCCTGACCTGGAGAACCTACCTGCTCTCAGAGAATGCACTCCACTCCTTCTAATGCTGGGGAGCCATTGTTCTAATGACTAGCCTGTGTGACTGACACTTAGAAGCCAGGAGCAGGGATGGTGATGCTATCCTCTACCTCAAAGTAATTCATGCCCTCAAAGTAACTCTAGCTCAGAGTAACTCATGTGTAGGATAAAGGATGTCACGCATGCTCTTAAATGCCCTACCAGGTATTTGACCCTAAAGTGCATGCCATATTTACATTCAATTTATTTCACTCACCATTATATTTTCTTAAAAGCATTCAGCCCTGTGTAAAAATACATGCCAAATAATTTTGCACTTTCAATCTGAAAAGACACAGTTGTTCCTTGCTAACAGCAGATTCCTCCCCACTGACCTAGGATGCCAAATTCCATAGACACTGAATTCCTGTATATAAAATGGCGTAGTGTGTACACAGAACCCATGCACATTTCCCACATCTCCAGATGACACAGAATACCCAATATGAAGCAAATGAGGTGCAAATAGTTATCCTGTACTCTTAAAAGGACAGGAAGAGTGTTACTACCCCTCCGTAAGGCTTTTGTTCCATTGGTGACTGAATTCTTGAACTCAGAACAGTGTTTCACAGGGGCAATTGTGCAAGCTGACAGGACCAGCACATCTTCCTTGCCTTAAGGGCTGGACGGGGAGGTTCACAGAGCCAAATATCCCTCAGTCATAAACACCCCAACTTGTCCCAGACCAGAGAGAACAGGGTGCTGTCATTTCCTTAAGCTATCCATTGCTTTCCCTGGCCAGGGCAGAGCAAGCAATGTTTGGCAGAGCCTTGCAGTGTGCAGGGTCAAGCATACTCAGAGCCCTGAGTCCTGAATAGTTTGGGGTCAAAGAGCTTCTGATTTGAACGTTAGAGGCTTGTTTTTGACCATGAACTGAGGTTCAAAAACACTGAAAAGGCCTCCACAGTTTCTTGCCCCTCACCCCCTGTGCCAGCTGTGTACTTACGGCCCTCAGTGATCATCCCCCAGCCACTTGTCCAGCACGGCTTGTTAGTGGGGAGCCTGGTGTTTCTCTCTGGGACACAGGCTGGAAGGACATGGGTGTTGTACTCCACAGGTGTGTGTAACTGCATCAGGGCGATGTCACTCCCCTGGTGGTGGATCTTCCCATAGTCTTTGTGGACAATGAGCTTATACACTGTCACCTGCACGCTGTACTTGGAGGGATTGTTCAGTTGGTTGTACCCTAGCAGGATTTGGTAGTCAGATGGGTCGTGGGACCTATTGAGGGAGCAGCAGCTCTAAGTGTTGTCCTGATTGCCTGCCCTCCCTGCAGGCAGTCGCATCACACATCCCCACATCCCCATCATTCAGCTGTTTCACCTTTCCTAATACTAGGTTGGTCCTTCTCTTGAAGGGCAGGATGGCTGCCCATGGCCTGAAGACATTGGTCTTTTAAAGGCTTCCTTTGGCTTCTCCAGAATATTCCAGAATCCAAGGAGCTGTGAATTTCACTTCCAGAGAAAGTAATTGAGGCACATCAAACTGCACCCCTTCATCTTGGACTTATTCATGTCCAGCCCTGATCAGACCAGCCTTATGACCGTATGACTGTTTCTAAGGCCCACATCCTGGATGGCATGACCCATACCCCAACCCTCACACAGTCTTCTCTCAAGGTTATCTTCCCACATGACCATGGGCATTCAGCAAGTGTTTGTGGAGGAAATGAAAGAGTGCATGGAAACTTACTGTGTCTGGAACACAAATCACTTTTCTATACATCTGCTGGTATATTGCTTCTATGTGCTCAGTCCTCATGTCTCAATATTCCTCCCTCAGGGTCCCTGTAGCTCCACGTCCTACTCTGGGCAACTCATGGCATCTCCCTGACATTGCTTAATGGTCTACTATGGGACATGGCCTTTGCCTCGCTTTTATGATAGGTGAGAAGTTTCAAGGTGGGTATCACACATCTCCCTCAGGACCCACATGGGCCCTGGCACACATGGGTACTGAGTTTGTAAGTTGAACCCATGTGGTTCCACCAAGTGGTCCTTCTTACTCCCTGTGGGCACAGAGTCAGCCCAGGACATACCTGATGAGGAACCTAGCCTCCTATCTGTTTGACTGTGCTAGCAGATAGACCATTAGCTTCATCCCTCCCTCTAGCTGTGAGGATAGTGGTACCCCGATTTTCCTCAGTGCACGGTAGATACAAAAATCTATGGTGTAGGTTATAGGCACACAGTCCCAGGACGCCTTCAGACAGGACTAGCTGGAACGTGAGGATGACCTGAGTCTAGATGAACCTCCAGTAGGCATACTCTGGATGACCAGTGGAGAGCCCTGGCCAAAGGAGGCAGGATGCTTGTTCACACAGAGCCTGACTGTGTCCAGCCCTGGAAATAAATCCCAGACTGTCACTTTAACCGAACACTGGAGCCTGTGCTATATCTGGCTAGGCCAGGACCCAAACATCTCTACATGGAGAGCCTGGCCTGCCACTTTCTTCGGGACTGTACAACCAGGGGTGAGCAGACACTGAAGTATCCTAGTATGGAACAAGGCTTTGATTCCTAATGCCCAAGGAAGACAAAAGACGAGACTTAAGGTAGCCACTTGGACCTAAAATCTGTTTTCCAGCATGCATTGATAATCACAACTGGAGCAAATTAATTTTCAGTTAGCTATTTCGAAGTAATGTTCACTCACTGTGACAGCCACACTAACTTGGTAAGTTTGGGGTAGGGGGACAGGGCATCCCTAAGGTGGGAGATGAAATGTGAGATGTCAGTGAGATGGGACCCAGACTGTAGGTGAGGAGAGTCAGAAGATGAACAGGGATGGCTGTCCAGGCCCAGTGTCCTTGACCACTGGGTCAAGGGCAGGGGAACAGCACAGGGGACTCCTACTGACAGCAAGTTGTCTCAGAACAAAGCTTGCTGTGAACCCTTCACTCCTCTCCTTCCTACCTAGCGCCTCTCTCCTGCAGCCCTTCCCAGCAGCAGGGTCCCACAGAGGGAACTCATACCTTTGGAAACAGTGAGCAGCGCTGGCTACCCAATTTTTGTCGATGAGGACGGCTCCACAGATGTGCCTGCCATATAAGTGCAGACTACCTTGCCATGGCCACCACTCAGGCTTTGCCATCTGACCACCAAAGATCTTCCCTTTGAAATTGGTCTTGCCACACACTGTGGAGATAATCCCAGCCACCAGGCACCTGAATTCAGGATGCTTGTGCTTTGTGCTCCAAATGACAGCATCAACAGGACCCAGGGGACACCATAGCCCCACCTCTTCCTTCCTATTTGGGCATATCTAAGGTCCAGGGTGAAGTGGCATGGATCAGATGACAAAGAGTTTCCTGGATGGTATGGGGAGGGGTGGGATATCAGCCTGAGGCTGACTCTTAGGAAATGGCTACAGAGCAGAGGTGCAGCACAGAGGTGGGTGTCACCTGGCTCTCTTCAGATCTTATTTACATAGGAGTACCGCCCTATTTGAAGAGGCAGAAGCTGAAGCTGGCAGAGATGTTATTCGAGGTCGTGATCATCTGAGTGGGTGTGCCTTTCATGGCAACCCCATGAAGAGTGTGGTACAACACTCAGCCTAGTGCAGGACCTTGACCCTGAACCAAGGAAGCTTGGGATCAATGGAAAAGAGACAGACTGGGAGAGGGGCATCCTGTATAAGTTCCAGTCCCCATTTCACAAGAGGAGGGGGCAGGCCCACTGGAAACCTGGCTCTTCCTTTGAGGTCCACTCTTGAGCCTGCCCACTTACCCTTTGACAAGGGTACAGTGGTCTTACGGGCCTCTGTGATGTTTCTGGTGACCCTCACAGTGGTCTTCGTGATATTTCTGGTGACCCTCGCAGGCCAGGCGGTGTTGGCATGTTGGGGCAGGAGACTGAGCCAGAGCAGAGCAGCCAGCGGGAAGGCCCCGCACCCGCCCACTCCTGATTCTTGAGCCCCGGCGCCTTCCATCTGACTGGTCTGCATCCGGGTCCCTGCAGACAACCAATGATACTGGCAAACCGCCTCTAGGGAACGTTCTTACCCATCTGCATCTCGCAGAAGCTAGCAAAGTATTCTGCAATCCGAGGTCCATCCACAGGAGGCGGCCAGTACTGTGAGCCAGGTGGTCCTCAAGGCCTCCTCACTGGCCCTTACGGGCGCATGTTTGTCCCAGAGCAAAAAAGCATTCACCACATCCAAAAGTTTCCTAGTCTCATCCCATTACAATATGCACTCAAAACGCAAAGTCTCATCATCCAGACTCACATGTCACCAATTTCACCAGCTCCACGTCCAGGACTTGAGTAAATCCTCTGACATGGGCTGTGGGTGAGCAAATTTAACTTGCTCTGAAAGTTTTAATCTAGTACCAATACCTCCAGTGAAGTCTCTTTTGTCTTTGGCAGTTGGTTGATTTTGATTTTTTAAAAACAAGCACACCTTGAATGCTGTTGGTGTTGGAGACTGATTTGGTTGAAGAAAATCAATCCAAAAACTCTTTGAGTATCCCTAACAAAAGTCAATAGAGCTCAAGTTACTCAAGGTAGGCAGCAGTCCAAGTATGTCAAAGGGCTTCCCAGCATCTTTGATGTGCTATATCTTAACATTTTTTTTATACTAATAGCAACATACTGATCCAATTTTTGGACCCAGTTAGTATTTCCTCCTTTTTCTTAGTAGGAAAAACTTCTGTTGCTTTTTGACTCCAGGTGTTTGGATCCCAAATAGAAGTACTTCGCAATCAAGTACCTCTTGAAAGATTTAAAATAGCTTTTTTTGTTCAGTTAAAAACTGAATTCTTAAATCCAAATTGCACTGAATGAGAAAATTATTTTATGAAGGTACTGAAATTTTGAATCATTTCAAACATGAAGGCTTGTTTCAAGCAAGGTAGGAGGTCTGGGTAGGCAAATAGTTATAGCAAAAGCATGATTAATGAGAGGACAGAGTACCATTTAGTTTCACAAGAAAACCAAGATCAGTATTATTTCTAGCACATAGGAAATTATACTAATGAAAACCCACATATTTAACCCCAGTTTTTAAGATAACAAAATATGAAAGGGGTTAAGGACTATATTATTAAACAGTGAGAATTAGTGGAAATGATGTCAGGGGTTTTGGGTTCAGTTGCCTGGGGTACTCAGTTCTTGATGGAGCTGAAAATGCATATCGCCTAGTTTTTCTGAAGTCCACATGGACATGTGCTCAGCAGATACTGGCACAAGTGTGAGGTAAGGAACACAAATCTAAGTGTTTATTTCCTGTAGTTCTATAGCACAGGAAGTGATTGGAAGTGCCTGATGGGGCCCTGTCCACCAAGCTGAAGGGAGTCTTTGATGCTGTGTCCTTAGTGATTGGTAAAATCCTGCGAATTCAGTTGTCATTCATTCAGTTCTTCATCTCCGAGGTGCTCACTGAGAAAATGCTCTCTACCCAAGTCTTACTTTTTAGTTAGTAGTTCTTCATTTCCCTTATAATAGTGATTCCCGTTATCAGAAATGGCACATACAGACCTTCGTGCATTTTGTAGGATGTACAGTAGTAATTTTATAATAAGAAAGTTGATGTTTTCCTAAAGGAATAGATTTTAAATTTAGGAATTTATCAATTCTTGCCATTATTTCCTTGCCCATTGGTGCCTTGTAAAGAAAGTCCTTAATTATGGCTGTATCTTAAAGTGTTTTACCTGTTTTCTTCTGCTAGTTTCAAAGTTTCAGGTCTTAAATTTAAGGTATTTGATATATTTAGAGCAGCCTTCTTTGTACAGGGTGAGAAAAATAAATGTAGTTTCATTTTTGAACATGCAAACATGCACTTTCCCCAGCACCATTTGTTGAAGAGGATGTCTTTTTTTCCCCTGATGTATGTTTTGGGCACCTTTGTCAAAAATTATGTGACTGTGCTGTGTGAGTTTATATCTGGGTTCTTTATTATATTCCATTAGGATATGTGTCTCTTTTTGTACCAGTACTGTCCCGTTTTTGTTACAATGGCTCTGTAGTATAATTTGAGGTTAGTTATTATGGCACTGCTAGTATTACTGTTTGTGCTTTAGTGATACAGTATTTTGTACTTCTATATGAATTTTAGAATTATTTTCTTCTAGTTCTGTGGAGCATGTCATGGGAGGTCTTTTAGTATCTAATCTCTTCAGTGTTTTAAAATGTCTTCTTCTAGTATCTAATTTCTTCAGTGCTTTAAAATGATCATTGTACAGGTCTTTTATCTCCTTGGTTACGTTTATTCCAGGGCATGCTGTTAGGTTTTTGAAGCTGTTGTTAATGATATTTTCGCCCTGATTTATTTTTCTTTCCCAGCAAGTTTGTTATTGGCATATAGGAAACCTACTTACTGACTTGGATATTGGTTTTTCATCCACTTTGCTCAAAGTGTTTGCCACATCTAAGAGTTTTCTGGTAAAGGCCTTAGGATTTTTTAAGTATATGATCATATCATCTGAAAATAGAGACAATTTGATCAATTCCCTTCTATTTGTATCCTTTTTATTTATTTATCTTGCCTTATTGTCTAGTTAAGACTTCAAGTGCACCGGGCATGGTGGTGCATGCTGGGTATGGGAGTACAGTCTTTAATCTCAGCACTTGAGAGACAGAGGCAGGCAGGTCTCTGTGGGACGAAGGCCAGCCTAGTCTACATAGTGAGTTCCAGGTCAGCTGGGGCTATAGGAAGACCCTATATCAAAAGACAAAAAAAGAAAAAAGACTTCAAGTACTATACTGCAAAAAAAAGTAGAAAATGTACACTTCCTTGTCTTGGTCTTGATTTTAGAGGAAATGCTTCTAGTTTTTTCCAACTTAGAATAATGTTGACTATCAGTATATAACCTTTATTTACTTATTATATATATTTTATTGAATTTTTGTGTATTTCATATGCCACATCTCAGTCCTCTTTATACCTCCTTCCCTACTGGCACCCTCTCATAGCTTCCCCCACTGGATTTTATGCATTCTGTCAATTAGGTTAAGGCCTACTGAGTCAAGTTAGGGTCTCTGACATCCCTCAGTGCAAGTTCATCCACTGGGGTCTAGTCAGTCTATCTAGAGCCACTCCCTTAAAGAAGATCAGCTTTTCCTTATCTAGTAGTAATCAGCTGCCCAATAGTTCTTTAGTTAAGATTGGGGCCTACTGCCCATTTCCACAGTTCTATGCTAGGTTTTTATCTGAGTTTGTATAGGTCTCATGTATGCTGACACCATTGCTGTAGGTTCATATGAGCAAGGTCCCAGGAGCCTGTGAGATTCTATTTCCATATGGTTATGCACCTCATCCCATGGTTCTTACAATCTTTCCACCCCCTCTTCCACAATGGTCTTTGAGCCTGGGTTCATTGCCCTCTGTTGCATGAGGGAGTTTTGTTGATGAGAGTTGAAAGATGCATTAGTATTTTCTCTACCTCGTGTTCTACTAGGTTCCATGAGTCTTAGGGGTAGATGTTACATTATGGATATGTCACTTAGGTTTGGGAATTTTACAGACAATCTCTGTGTGTGACCAGCTGTGGAACTCTGTAATAGTAGTAGTCTGTTGCAAAAGAAGCTTCTTTGATAAGTGATGACTGGCATACTTGTCTGCAAATTTACATATTAAGTTTTATCCATCACAACTCTTCTCATGACACATTTTAACGTTCTAGTTTCATCCTTGTTTTTCCATTTCCATTTGGAACAATCTTTTACTTTAATGACAAAACTAATTTATGATCTAACATCTTTTCTTCTCCAAAAGAATTTCATTTTTCCTTCAACCTTTTAAATCAAAAACATTTTTCCATACCTATAACTTTTGATATCTTTCTCATACTTTTGGCTCCTTTTTTCCAGTGGCAGTGGAGACATTGTTCCATGCTGCTGCTTGCAGTCTGAAGAATTCTCTTAATCTTCCAGGGCCACCCTAGGACCTCATTTAGGTTCCTTGGCCACTCTCTGAAGATATTAGCTCCAGTGCCCACCAAAATGGTTACACGGCTATTATAAAGACAAGGAGGCCTGGCTTTTCTTTGAGAAACCCACATTTATGTTCTCTAGTATATTTTACTTTCTTGCTGAGTGTCTTTTTTTTTACCTTAACCCTCATGATTAAAATCTATATTGAAATCTCTTTTAATAAACACCAACTTGGCTTCATACTGACTTGTGCTGATATTATTTTCTGCAGCAAAGTCATGAATTCAGTCCCTAAAGATTAAGATCCCTAAAGGATGAAGGGACTTCTTCAGACCATCAGTAGCAGTGAGGAGCTGTGTCTCCATCCCCAGGGCCATTCGCTCACTCAGTGTGTGGATGATTCAGTGAGTGAGAGTCAGGGAGATGGGGAGAGCATGAATATAGTAGAGGGCTGGAGGGTAGTGCTGCCAGAAATAGTATATATTTAGCAGTAAATACTGCTTAATTTTACAAAGTCTGGTTTTAGCCAGGAAGTGAGGTCCACGTTCTAAAATTCTTTGACATGCACAGAAAATCCTCTGCTAATTCTAAAAGTACCCAAACAATGAAGATCTGCTGAGTCTCCAGGTCAGTTTGGGCAAAGTATCACATCATATGTCTGATGCTCCTGACCAACTCAGGATGTGTTGCTGGAGGAGGAGCTCATCAGAAGGACACACCCTCTGCTTCCAGGCCTCCTCCAGCCCATCAGTCTGTTGATGGGTTCCATCCTTGAAAGTACTGACTTTGGTCATGTTGTTGCTGTGAAGTTGTGGTTACTTGCCTCCCTTCTGCCAGAGCCATCGTGACCCATGGGCCATGCCATGCCAGGACCAGGTCTTTCTTTAGTTTATTTCTTTTATACGACTTTTAAAATTTTATTTTTAATTATGTGGGGTGTGTTTATGTGTGTGTGTGTGTGTATGTGTGTGTGTGTGTGTGTGTGTATAGTATTGCACGTGCTGGCACAGGCTAGAAGAGGCCTTGAGGTCAGAGGCATGTGCCTTTTGCTATTTGCCCTTGCCAGGCAGCCTGTATAGGCC